AGTTCGAAGTTGAGGGTGATTTACCGTGGTCTCGTTACCGGTCCAACTTATCGCCGTAAAATGCCGATACGACTGGGAAACTTGGTTAACGTTTAGAAGCCTGGGCGAACGATTCCTCGATCGGTTAACCCCTTCCCGTGCTTTAATGAGTCTGACACGTGTGATAAGATCGGGTTAATAAATCGAAAGGAACTTTGATCGTGATTATATTTATAAAATAAACGGAGGCTCGAAGTCTTCTATGATGCGTGCTGCACGCGGTGGACTGCCAAAAAGGTCCCGTCGAACCCTGGCAAGGTTTATATAGGCTCTATGATAGTCCATTGCTCCAGTCAACTCTGCTTTGAGGAGAATTCGAAGCATAGATAGACCCTGATACAGGGTAACGCCATCCGTATTAAGATTCCTCTCACACTCGTGATGAAGATTTTGGACCGAACATAAGTATCACGAGCTAGACTCGTGAATAAAAGTTCGTGTAAAATATCTTCTATTAATCTACCCCTCATTTTTATTTTAATCAACTACTATATTTAACAAGAGAAAATGATCTTCAAAATTCCTTTCAATTTTTATATTGTAATTTTAACATTCCATTTTCGGTCAATTTTAATAAAAGTCGGCCAAACACGAATATCACGAGCCAGACCCCCGAATAGAACATTTTTCTGAATACAGTTTTGAAAATGTCATCTATTATAAAATATAATATATTTATAATATTTATAAAAGGAAAAAGGATTAGAGTTTACTTGCACAGCAGCAGTATCGCGTAAAACTGACTATATCACGCGTCTTTACATTTCGTGTCTATTTTTGAGCATCAATCTGGTCCGTTCACTGCGCGTTGACGCCTACCAGTTGGGCCCAAATTTCGTCGAGCTAAATGGCACAGGAAGGGGTTGATTCCGTTCGCCGTTATGATTCTCGTTTTCGTACGCCGAATCGCGCGAGTCAGACCCGTGAAATTCGCCTGATTCAACGTCTAAGACTCGACAGTGAAGTTGCAAGCATCTCCAAACCGATTTCGAGCGACCGGGTGAAACGGGACAGGGCAGAGCCGATGATCGCGTTGGATCGGTATGCGGTTTATCGCGAAAGGAACTCGGGCAATCTCGTCTTGCCACACGCGGAAGGTATCGATTTCCGTGTCCAGCGGAAGCGTGTCGCGGCGATAAAGCATGCACCACGGCACAAACTCACGAGAACTCGAGGGCACTCGACGATAGGACGTTCGGTGGCGTGGGTGAGTCGAATTAAAGTCGTAAATCGCGAAACTCGCGAGCGTGACGGGATCGATGCTGCGAATAGATGCCGCGAATAGCGAAACTCGGCCTGTCCATCGCGCCGGAGCAAGCCTCGTGACTAATGTTACACGCTTATCGGATCGAATTCTGGTCTGACAAGCGCGAAGGATCGTCCGGACTGCGCGTGCAAACAGTCGTTTCTTTTCGCCTTTACCCCGAGACAATGTCGATACTCGACGGGGATATTACATCGCGGCGTTTGGGGCCGGGGGAGGCGAGAGAAGTCTCGCCGGCGAGGCGAGCAGTGATTGCCGGCGGTTTATCGCCGCTGCATCGACCGTTTCGAAAAATGAGCGGTTGTAATGGAAGAGGAGCGTGAACAGGTGTGATCAATCGGTTGCGAGATGGATGGTCGGCGAAGGGTTCACGGTGTTTTTTTTAATTGGCAGATCGAGGGTTTAAGTAGGCCTTGATCGACGAGATGAATAGGCAAATCGTTTGCGCGATAGATCGCGCGCGTGGATGGTACCGTGAGTAGCCATAATCGTCGGATGGAAGGCAAGTCGAAGCGAAAAAATGGAGGGTGTTCCGACTTTTGTCCACGGCGAACGAGTCGAGAATAGTTAGTGGCTTGCGAGGTACTCGAGGGATCTAATGAAATCGGAGGACGACGACGACGCGCAGGGTACGCTTTTCCATCGGGAAATTTCAAAGGGATCTTTCCCTGGAAAATGCCAGGAATCGGTGTCCGCGCGAATTTCGAGGATAAATACGTCGATCGTAGGGATACCTGAATCGCGCAAGACCCGAAAGAGAGTGGGCTCGTGCAACATGGACGGCCGGAAATTACTAGATACCTCTGAGCCGCTAATGTTTATCGTAATACCCCCATTTTCGCGGTGGGTGCTTATTTTTTCGCCGGTGCCCCTCCCCTGCACCCCGTGCGCCACGTACCGGCGCGAAAGAGCCAACGATCCGGGGCCCGTTCGGTCGTTAGGAGATACGCCGGCTGGCAAATATGAATTATTAAATTTGGACAAAGGTTCACGCCTGGCCGACGTACACGCAGCGCCGAGTGGCCTGCAATAAGACAACCGAATGCAGCCGGACTCCCTGTAATCAGGCGCAATCACGGCGACTGCTTATTTACACCTCGGGACCAGTGAAAGCCGTGCAACGAGAGCCTACCACGATGGGACTCGTCTGCAAAAATCGTAAACACCGTGTGCGAGGCTCCACGAGTTCCGGCCACGACTCCACCGCCGCCGGTGGAATTACTTTTTAGCCGTGGAACGGATCGGTACCCATCGACGTTGCATCCCGACGTCTGACAAAAGCCAAGCAGTGTCCCGATCACCGGGTTGCGTGCTAGACGCGATAGAGGTCGGTGCAAAAATTGCAAACTGCTCGTGAGCGATAGTTTGTAACGGGCTACAATGTATGGTTCGCGAGTTAGGAGATTAGAAGGTCAGGCCGCGAAAGCGTGTATGCGAGATGGGGCACGAGAGTACTGCAGGGTGCAAGTGTTCTGGGAAAACTGGTCGGAAAATTTTTACCCTTCTACGTCTCGGAGACTCGGATGCTCGAAAAGGTACGCGAAGCTCGCGTGTACGTGTTCCTCCTCGCGATCTGTCGTTCCCCCTCGATGCCTTTAATTTCGACGTATGCCGGTTGCATTTATGATTCGCCGCGATGCGACGCGACGTCGCGCAGCCCCGAGGATGGTCCCAACCGGTTCTTGAAACAAAGAAACGACCGGTGTCGCGAGGGCACACACCGGCGTGCTTCGTCGTTAGCCGAACAATGGTCGGGCCGCGTACCGATTCAATGGATCGGTCCTTACGTGTTAATCGAGATTTACATCGTAACCGCGTAATAACACGCTTGGTCGTTGAATGGAACGTAGTCGATGGCTCTCCGTTTCAATGGCACCGCCGGGGGAACCGGTACCCTCTGCGCGGTACACTCGGCGGAATATAAAACGCTTAGATTCGGGCAAGAAGATACGTCCGGGTTCGACGAAATCCTTATCGATCGTCGTACGACGTTTCCTATCGAGATTCGCAGTTTGGTTAATCCCCGGGAATTATCCGGAGATCGATAGTCGGGAAATTCGGCATAAAACGGCGTGTCCTTCCCGGCGAGGAAACTTCCCGGAATTCGAGCAGGGGAGTACAAAGTTGGACCGGAGCGGATGTATATACATGGACTGCGCAGTTCCGCCGCGATCACGGCCAGGCATGGGCGACGCGAAACATTTGTATCCGCGAATTACGAAGTTTTAAATTGCTCGGATAGACGCGGAGGCCCCGACTTGTCCGTGTAATCCGTTCGACCTGTCGAAGATCGGTTAGTCGTTGGATGAGAAAAGGGGGAAAAAGTTGGAAAAAACTTGGCTGCCTCGGAGGAACCAGTCAGTCCTAGGAGTCGGCCAATCTGTCTGTTCGTGGCACGGAACATCTTCCTTTTTTTTTTTTTTTTTTTTTTTCTTTGCCGCCACCCCTAACCCGATCCCTCTCCGGTGGGCCGCAAACTTTTCTATATCCGGTTCGATGGAGCACCCTTTGGCTCGATGTTTCTTCCTCGGCGTTCGATCGAAATCAATTATACGAACGGCGCTGTGGCCAACTCTTGTACCATCCTGTCCCATGGCCGCCACGGTTTCCTCTCCGTGTCGGTGACCATGAAATATTCATTTGTTTGCGTTGTCGCAACGAGAACCACGCGGCACGGCGGGGGAAACAACGGGAGATACAAATTGATATGTATTTAGGATGTAATCCTAATATAGGTATACCGTGTACCGAGGAAACATCGGGACCCGTCGATCGTCCGTCTTCCTCGTCTCGAGCGTTTCCGAAAGAACGCCTCTCGGAGCGACGCGGATTCACGGCCAGGATAAAATCCAACCGCCTCACGTTTACCTAACGAAGAACCCCTCTAAAAGCTTTTACCGAATCCTTCGACTCGAAACGCCGTCGCTGTTAGTACAATAATCTTCGGCGCAGCTCAACCCCCGGCTCCCTCGAAAATTCTCGCGCTCGCGCCGCGGCAAACTTACGCGTTTCCCGCGAGCGATAACCGTTCCCTGCGTCACGAAGTTCCAGCAGGGATGGTGGCTCTCCGTTGCAGCGCAATAATTATTCGCGAAAGGCAGGGTGGAATTCGCGGATCGAGCTCATAACTCAGACAGTTTGAACGGAGCAGAAGTCGTGTCTCGTTGCGCCCTCCCTCCGCGGAAAGTTGCAGATCTCGGGGCTTCCGCAAGTTCCTGGCTGCAGGAGTGACGTGCCCTGTTTGACGACGCCCGGTGCTACCTGCCGCTGCGTTGTTCGCCAGAGACGTTTACAACGCGTTGCCGGTTGATCCGTTCGTCGACGAATAGCGTCGCGATAACGACGCCGGCGATATACCGCTAATAGCGGATTCCGAGTTTCCAGCCGGATCAACGACCGGAGATTAATTTTAATCCTCTTCTCCACGGGGACGCGCCGCTTCTTCCTCCCACCGAGCTTTTTCCTCCAGCTTTGAACGTTTTCGGAAATTCAAATGGACCAAGATTTACCCGCGCGTCGCGTGTAAACGAGTTCGATCGGGGTCCGATCGACGATTCTGAAGAACTTTCGGTTGATTCATCGGCTACTTCGTTCATTTTTTCATTAAACGAACATGTGAAGTACTAGTATACGTATCTTTGGACTTAACAGGATGTTCCGTGCTTAAAGAATATTTTCTCACTATGGAAATAGATGTCTAGGCCCTTGCCACGTTCCATGATCGAGCAATCGTATCTCGGAATTTTCGTGAACCTTCGCAAATCTCCGTGAACATCTTCAAACCTTCATCCGTGAACCTCCGTAAATCTCCGCGAACCTCTGCAAACTTCCGAGAACCTCTCCAAACCTTCACGAACCTCTGCAAACCTCCGCAAACTTCCGCGAACCTCTGAAAACCTCCGCGAACCTCTGTGAACCATCGCGACCCTCCTTGAACCTCTGTAAACCTCCGCAAACTTCCGAGAATCTCTCCAAACCTTCACAAACTTCTGCAACCCTCGACAAACTTCCGCGAACCTCTGAAAACTTCCGCGAACCTCTGTGAACCTTCGCGACCTTCCTTGAACCTCCGTAAACCTCCGCAAACTTCCGAGAATCTCTCCAAACCTTCACAAACTTCTGCAACCCTCGACAAACTTCGGTGAACCTCTGAAAACCTCCGCGAACCTCTGTGAACCTTCACGACCCTCCTTGAACCTCCGTAAACCTCCAAAAACTTCCGAGAATCTCTCCAAACCTTCACAAACTTCTGCAACCCTCGACAAACTTCGGCGAACCTCTGAAAACCTCCGCGAATCTCCAGAACCCTCCGCGAACCTTCGCAAACCTTCGTGAACCTCCAGAAACCTCTGCGAACCTTCGCAAACCTTCGCGAACCTCCGCGAACCTCCGCAAACCTCCTCGAGCTTCTCGTCCGTTCCACGCACTACGTAACCGGAAATTCGAAACAGTGTTGAACTTGGAAATTCTTTATCGTCGATCGACTGATCGGAGGAACGGATACGCTTGTAAAACGAGAGGCAAAGTCGCGGAGTCCGGCGCAGGGATTGGCGCGGTCAATAACCGAAAACGATGGCGAAATCCGTGGACTAAGTCCCGCACGGGCATGGCAAAGACCTTAATCTCCGCAAAGTGAAAACTAATTTCCCGGGCAGGCGATAAATTCGCCGTGACATCGGTGAAATTTTTGCGGCCGCGCCACGTTCCGACGATTACGTAACGACGAATCGATTCCGATTCCGGCCGCGGGATAATCGGGCCAACCGGGGACCGGGATTAATTATTGAGAAGCAAAAGGTCGGCGCTGGAAGGCGGTTCGGGCTAGTCAGCAGTTCGTGAGCCACGCCGATCTGCAACGCTTGCAGTTCCAACTGCACAGGTGCAATTAAATCCGAGAGATTCCAGGTTGGCCGTCCGCCTGCGCCAATGACGAAACCCAAATATGCGTTGCGCCGCGTCGCGCCGATCCTTCGTCCCGGGAATAGGAATACGAGGTCGATCGTGCAGGAATCGAAGACGAATTTCGCCACGTTTCCGACCAATTTCCACTCTCTTCGAGACGCCTAGACGACGGCCGTATAGTCGACGAATATAGACGCGTTCCCGCCACCGCGACGTCGCCGACGTCGACGGCAACGCGTTCTTTGAAGTACCTTGTTATTCCTCCTTATTTGCGAATTCGTTTGTTCGCGTTTTGGGCGACTTTAGATTTATTGGAGTGCTTGTTGGAACGGAATTTACCGGAAAATTGTTTGACTATGAGAGCTACAGGATGACACATACGAGGGATGCGACCTTTGAGATTCCTAAACGATTTTTACGCCAACCTTTATGCCAATATACTCGAATTTACGAGGAAAACGTGTCGCGATCCCAAAGAATACCTATGGTTATAATTTTCATACAATTATCTGTCTCCAGCGTAATAGTATTATCTCACTACTACCTTCCAATTGCCTCCACATATTTATCCCGATAGATCACAGACTGGTAAAACAGATAAATATTAATAAATATCTATAAATAAATACAAATTTCAAATAGAAATATCTGGAAAGCGGAAATTTTACCTTTGAATCGCACTGTATATATACTCACTTCCTGCTCGACTTCGCAACCGAGCATTTTCCGCGATATAAGAAGGAAGTGATCTCGAAGCGGCGCGTCGTCACGCGGGAGCGCGGCCATTAAACGGGGCCATTGTCTCGATGAATATGCGAGCCGATTAATTACACGGGCTACGCCGGTAACTGGGACGCTATGGCGGTGCTACGTTGACATTTTCTGAAAGTAATCCGAGCCGAGCGCCGCGTAATGATCGGCGTGGAGGAATTTACCAGGCGACAGGATAATAACTTCCTGCTGGTTACGACAAAGGGTCGCGAGTCTACCGATAATCTACCGATCCCGAGCGTTTAGCAACGCGAAACAACAATTCCTCCATCGCGTGAATCTATTTATTTATTCCATTTTAACAAATTTGTTTAAATTTAAGAAAATAAAAATCGAATCTCCGACATGCAATTCGAAGCTGGGTGCACTCACGCGACCCTAAGGATTTCTCTCTTTTCGAACACAGGGATTGCAGGGATTGGGTAGGTTTTACGAGACGAGGGCGAGATTAATTACGTCGAAACGATAGGAATTGAATAATTGAAATTGACTTTAGCGGCCGGCCGGTGAAAAGCGATTACAGAATGCTCGAAACGCGTCGTTTAAATATTTGTTCCGAGCGTCGGGGTGGTAGCGCAACGCGGAGGCGAAGATCCCCCCGTCGAATTATGAAGATTACACGGAAACGACGCTCCGTTTCCGGAAACCGCGCGCCGATTGAAACGTTCACGCGAAGTCGGCGTGCCGGGTAATAATTTTCTGCATACTTTAACGGAATACCACGTTTCAGAGATTCGATATTAGGGGAATCAGAATTTCTATGGGAACCGCGAAAATAGAAGGCTGCGCGAAATTGTTTCCAATATGAGAAGCACGGAACTCGAAACTGCTCCTGTGGCCACGGAACGATCGAGATCGAATTGGATTTATGAAAATTACGATCGAGCGCTATTCTCCGTTTCCATTTCGATCTCAGACACTGTTTCGAGGGGGATAGTTAGCCGGCGGATGAAAGAAAAATCGGAGTCGCTGCTCCGGACGATCTCGGGTAACTCGTATCCAGTTCCCGTTCCGTCAGGCGATTTTATCGCGTTGGAAAATCATCGTGCGTTCGCGTATCTCGAATTAACTTTCCGGAACTTTGGCCAACTTTTCATCCACGCGTTTCCCGTGGAAACCGAGCCACGAGTGCCGGCAATCGCGCGAGATATAAAGTATTCCGGCTACGATATGGCGAGAGATCCGATCGAATCGACCGAGAGCAGAGACAGGTCCGAAGGTATTTTATACGGCAAGACGATAACGCTCCACGCGAAAAAATATTTCAACGAACTGTGCCGCGAGATCCGCGAGATATCGAATATTAATTTGTTGTTGTCCGGTGTGTTCCAAGATCGGTATCGGCACGCGCGTAATCGCGAAATTCCGTCGTTTCAATTTCGATTCGCGATAGATTCTTCACGGTACTCGCTATTTTTTTCCTTTTTTTAATTTGCTTTTCGAATTTGTAAGAGAGATGATTTCTACGATGATATTGCGGATCGTGTAACTAGCTCTGAGCCAACAAACATCGTCTAACTAGCTTAATCCCTCGATGTGGTAATCTCGTAGTTCGTTTGGGTCTCGACTATTCTCTTTTTTCTCCGCTTAATGGAAAGCCAGTGTACATTTTCCTACGTTTTTCCACGTTTTCCCGCGTTTTACTTAACGTATTCCGATTCTTGTGTCCGTTGTTTAACCTATTTACTCGGTAGCCGCGTTCCTTTAACAGCTTACACTTTGTCAATTTTTCCTCTTTTTCCCCCCTCCGCGCACCCATTCAACCTCCTTCCGCGTGGCTTCCGTTCCTATCCTCAGCGACGAAGAGCACAATTAGGTATTCTATCTCTGTGTGAACCACCTCACACCAGGAAATTAGGTTGCGCGTCTGAAAAGGGAACGCCTCGTGTCGCATCTTTTCATTCCACCCCATTCTTCGCTCGGCTTTTTGTCTCGCGGCAACAATCTTTCTCGTCTCGCGCGCCACTGTCCCGGCGCATGCATCTTAATTACTCGAAGCTCGCAAATGCGAAACGAGTCCACGGTCTCTGTCGCGCGCGCTCCCCGCTTTCGAATTCTTCGCGGACTGGTCCCACGCGATAAATCACTTTTGCCGCGCGACAAAACGCGACAAAGCGCGACAAAACGCGACAAAACGCGACAAAACGAAGCTACCAGCCCTTTTTGCAACGCCCCGCGAATTCACCGCGGATATCGATACTCCATTCCGTACCCCTTGGTCGCCCTCCGCCGTCACCCCTAGCCACCCCCCGGCCGCCGTTTACGCGGCCTTCCTTTTTCCTCCATTGTCTGCCGTCTGTATAGAAATAATTCCGCGAACGTGAAGAAAAAGGGAACAAATGGTAACGCTGTGTGCCAGACTTTTTTTTTATTCAAACCCTGTGCACGCTTCGGAACGCCTGAATTGTGTCGGCATTGGCGCGCCCGCGGTGTTATCCCCGCTGTCGGTGCCGCAATTATCGCGCGGCTGAAACATTTTAAAGGGGAAATTGTTAAATTACACGACGACCGGGAGGTGTTCGACGTTTAACCCAGTTTTCCGCGCTGCTCCAAAGGGACCTGGTTTTCTCGCCCCAGGTGCATGTATACGCGTACACGCTATTGAACAGAAGTTGCAACTGTTGCAGAAATAACTGTTAATAGCTGTTGTATAAAGATTCCTCCCAATAAACTGGTTACCAAGCACTGAAACGACGTTATTAAACGTTGAACGACACAACGACGCGGATGAAGGAAGTTTTACGTTGCAAACGGAAATGGATTTTTCATCGGAAAACGATGATAATTTCTACCTCCCGCCGGCAAATTATGCGGTAAAAATAATTAAAACGTCGTTGTTAAATTGAACGAAATGGTGGAGGGTGGGTGGGGTTGACAATGGTTATCCGTTCGATTCGAAGACGTATCGATAAATCCGCTCGATCTACGGTATCGTGGTTTTGTATGACCAGTGGTTGCTGGCCGAAAATCGGCCAGAAATTCCTGATAATTACCGATTCCGATAATAACTACTTTCCCGCTATAGCGCAGCTCATGATTTATTAATTTTTCCAATTTTACCGCGCTTTCATACCTCGGATAATTTCCTATTAACGATAAATTGAATAATTTACAGGTTTCTGCAAATTTTAGTTACATTTAATCTTTCGCGATATAAATTTTCGGGATTCATTTGTATTAAAATATTCTTATTACCGGGGAAAATTAAAATATGTACATGATAAAAAGATTAGGTTAATTACTGGCTGTCGATTAAGAATCGCCTGGCTACGTATAAAAGATCGCGTGTATGGCTGTTAATTATAATATTACGAAATTAATAACGCAGTCGCGTAGTGTTTACAAATGGGAGAATTTTACGATACATACGTTCGTTAATTATCCGATATACATTGGTCGCTAATTATTTATTAATACTAATTACAGCTTTAATACGCGACAGTGTCGAGTGCCGAGGAAGAATAAGTTCGAATAATATTCTTGGTTTCCGAAATGCGAAATGCTCGAAATTCGTTGAGTTCATCCCGACCGATACATTCTCTATGGCGATAAATCTATTTCATATCCGGTGTCGAAAATTAATCTAACATACAACGGGGATCAACAGCGACAATCGTGCATATCGTCAAAGGGAATTGATACCGTGGCTCGACGAGCAATATTGTAAACGCTTTGGCAGAATCGACAAAATGCCTCGAAAGCCACTGAAATCGTAACCGGAATAAAAATCGTCATTCGCGGATTTCAATTTCG